GTATTTTGTTCCACCCCGCAGTACTCTTGTTAACCCTTACAATGATTAGCGTCATCACCAAGGAAAGGAGTCCTTTTTGGTATAGACATAATCTATAATTAGGTCTGTTTCATTGAAAACCTTTAACCAGATGAGCAAAAATTATGAAAATCAGTCATAAGTATAATAAACTGTAACTGAAACAGGAAACAGAGCAGTGCCAGCCATCCAGTCCACTGGTCTACAGATTGAAGGGAAGTTCCTTCTTCTAGCCAACAGCAAGAAAACAACCACTATCATATGTGCCATTAAAACCTGCCCACAACCATGTTTTCTATTTTACAGAAAAATGAAAGCTACAATTGATGAGTACACGACACGTGTGGGGCAGCAAGCAGTTGTGTTATGTTGTACACCTGGTAAACTCAGCCAGGCAGTACAGTCCTTCAAAGTGTTTGGCTCACAACCATTAGAAAATGTGGTATGTTCTCATTTTTTTTTTTTTTTATACATGTAGTAAGTTTATATTTGATAATATCAATTTCTTTGGCTGTACATGTATGTCTGCAAAAACGAAGGTTCTACAACCAAACAGTGGTTTTCTATTAAGAGTCAATATATGTCAACTGTATCTAAACTTTTTCAGATATTGTTCCTTGGTTTTGTACTTGTGAAAATATCTAAAAGTTCTGTGCTGCTTGTGAAATGTATAATATTATTTTAAAATAAGGAAATCGTTTTCATATATTTATTATAATAGTTAGTGCCTAATAAGGCAGCTCCTGCGAATTCCTCAAAATTGTATTGATTAATGTATATATGCTAATTGTATTGATTGTATAAATTGTATATTGGCTTTTTCTAGCTTGATAGGGCGCTATATCAAATGTTGTATAATATTTTATTATATATCCTCTATCTATGAAAGCAAAACTGTTTATTTCTTTAAAGATACGGAGCAACAGAAATGTTGTGATGCAGGAACTAGAAACTTGTTTAGCAGACCAAGCACCTCCTTCTCATACAGATAATACGGGATTACATGAGTTACCTCCCTTAGTTATCGATGGCATTCCAACACCTGTCGACAAAATGACACAGGTAATATTGTTTATCTCATAAAAATATGCATTACTTTCTTTTTTAGTCCAAAAACGACATATGTTTTTGTGTGTGTATGAAAAGGCAATTGTTTTCATACATTATGAAGTGTTTATTGTTGAAGGGATTTGAATATTGTTTTATTAAAAAATAAAATTTCAATGTGAACATCAGTATTCGGTTGTGATTCCTGAGAGTAACAAGGATTTTGTTATTCTAGTTTTCAAAAACTAAGCGGCAAACGGGGGTCTGTCAATAGCATAATATGGCTCACCTAAATTTATACGTTAAGCACAAAGATCTGATTTATAATTAAATTTCACCAAGATATCAGTCTTGCAGAGTTTGCATTTTCTTTTGAGAAAGGCACTCAGCAAAACAGTTAACATTCCAGGACATCATCCGTTTTCCTGGCTCACCATGTGATGTGATGCCATTGTGCCAGATATCCATCATCTGTCTATAAACTTCTTACTTTAAAACAACTAGTTCCGAATAGCTTTGGGTTTTGACTAAATTTGGTCTGGATCCTTTTTTTTAGCTCACCTGGCCCGAAGGGCCAAGTGAGCTTATCCCATGGTGCAGCGTCCGTTGTCCGGCATCCGTCAACTTTTTCCTTTAAAATGCTACTTGTCCTGAATGGCTCAGCGGATTTTGACCAAATTTGGTCAGGAGCATCATTGGCCAAAGGGTTCTCAGTTTTGTATAAACGGAGGGTATAACCCCCCCTGGGGGCAGAGGGGCGGGGCCAAATAGGGGAAAATAGGTAAATCTTTAAAAATCTTCTCCTCAACCAATAGAAGGATTTTGACCAAATTTGTCCTAGAGTATCTTTGGACAAAGGAGACTCAAGTTTGTATAAACGGAGGGTGTGGCCTCTTTGGGGGCAGAGGGGCGGGGCCAAATAGGGGAAGTAGAGGATTTTTTCTCTCCTACTATACAAGTGAAGGGATTTAAACCAAATGCAGTCTGAAGCTTGGTCAGGAGCATCATTGGCCAAAGGGTTCTCAGTTTTGTATAAACGGA